ATTGTAGTGCTAAGTGATGTGTAGAGAGGATCATCAATTACTTGTCAAAGAAATCTGTTTAATATAGAAAAAATACAATGTGATATGACCTCAGCAAAGCTATTTTTCTTCATAACTGTACCTTTAAAAATAATGCTACCTTAATGAAGATAAATGCAAATGTTAGGGACTCCATGTTCATTTTCAGTTGCCTCTTTGTTGTTTGCTTTTAAACCGAAGAACTGAAAAACTTTTAACTTTGCAAAATAAGTTGTTAGATAAGAGGTGGGGAACAGCCAACTTGTCTTCCTACGAACTCTGAAGCTGGATTATTAGAATTCTTACTTCTTGTAATCTCAGCTGTTTTAATTGTTGTAAATTAAGCAGTAGCAACTTGTTTGCAGTCAGTTTATCTTCTTTTGACTGTAATTCCACTAGTTTTGTCTTTGACCTAATCCCAGATGCTTGGTGATTGTTGAGGAAATTGAAGTTTTTTTCAGTAATAACTACAAAATTAAATCCCTACTGTGGTGAGCTGTTCACTTGCTCATTCTGTGGCCTCTACTGAATACCTGGAACTGGAATACCAAGAGGGCTTACAGGCACCTCAGGTACTATTCTGTACCCAGGACACAGCTCCATCAGTTTCAAATGACACTCTGATTTATTATTGCCTAGCTGTTTAGAACAGAAGAACAGCAGAGAAGCGTGCTGACATCTTATTTATTATTCAAGATTTGGCTAGTGTTGTCTGGGTCAGTATTTTTACTTTAGTGATGTATCTGTAAGAACTGCGTAAAAGGCTGCTGTTTCTGGAGAGACATGGCAGATTTCACCAGTTGTGAATTTGCTCTTTAAAGTTAATATTTCTGAACAAAACCCATTACTTTGTGGATATATTCTTGGTGTTTACATGGTCTTCAAACCAGCTCTGAATTAGCTGGATAGAGATATAGGACATGTACATTAGTTCAGGTAGAGGCAGAGATATTAAAAAATTTACAGAGTTTTTTCATTTCCATTTTAAAAACCCCACAAACCAAACCAAAATAAAAATGTGCTTCCCATGGCAGAGAGGAGAGGGCTTATTGTACAATGGCTGACTTAGCAGCAGTGCCTCTGTTTTTTGTAAATGACCTTCAAGCCTTGCAGCACCTCTTCTAGGTTAAACATGTTGCCTCCTTTTTCGCCTTCTGGTGAGCATGTAACATTTACTTAAGCCTATGTGTACAAAACTGAATTTCATTTTGCCACCACGTGTTATTTTAGTACAGTATCCCTGAGATGTTATACGTTGTAATTGGAGTTCATGGCTTTGCTTGCTCTTTGGATCAGTAAAGAAATCAAGCAAACAAAAGGTTTATCTTCCTCAGATCTAGTCCAGGTCTTTAATGTCGTGAAGAGAATCAGCCTGTGACCAGTGGGATGTGTCTTTAATTGTCTCTTGGACTAGCAGGTCAGCATAGGCATGTTTCTTGACCTACAGAGAAAAAGAGAAGTATATGTGAATTATGCTGCAGAAGCTTGTGAAGTCATACAAAAATTTATGGGCTTACTGCATTATTCAAGGTACATAATTTTATTACAGTGCTGAACAACACATGGGACAACTGATTTATTGTTAGTGTCATATTTTGCATAATGACTTTTTTCCATGGAAGATTTTACTGCATGTGTTTTAAAAGGTACAAGACAATTCTTTGGGAAATTCTACTCTAAGCTTTTTTTTTTTAAGGAAAGCAGAATTTTATACAGAGGCAAAAGTAATGTATTTGTGTCATAGTATACAAGCCATTACTTAATAAATGATTGAAAGGGTCTCATCCTGGGATCTGATACTGTTTGTATTTTATTTGGCTTAGAGGCTAGAAAGCAAAAATATAGATACTCCTTAAAAAGCAATACCATTCCTCTCTGTAGTAGCATTTTTATTTTATAATAGGTGTTATTTTTAAGTAATTGTGTATAGCTAGTGGCTAATAAACATCAAATCACTCTGCAGCAATGAGCTGGTTTTGATTGAATTGGGGGGATTAGATTCACCTCACTGTAACGCCCTGTGCCCATGACTGGTCTAAGGCCAGACCAGTGTCTGAGGTTGGTGGCTCAAGGTCTCCCTGAGGTTAAAAACCTGGCAAATACCTTAGATATTGAAAGTCAAGTGTTAAACACTTCAAGTCTAAGAGAAGGAACTGCCAGTAGACTTGCTTGACAAGAAAATTGAGCGCTGAATCACCTGAGTGGGAAAGCAAAGAGTTCCCATTTCAATGTGCTGTTGTGGGTCCTCATCTGCACTGGTTTTAATTGCAGCTTCACAGGTTCCTATTCTGATTAATCCTCCATGTTAGCAATAAATACCCTCTTGCTGCCTGCTGGGGACTCCAGCCTATGGAGGACAGTGGCAAACCACAGATTTTAATATTCACTTCGCAAAACACAAAATGAAATATTTAAGCTATCTACTGAAGCAATTTCCTTTGTGGTACAATTTTGAAAGTGATTTAATTTCTTACTTAAGCTTAAAAAAAAATAAAAATTAACAAAAGCTGGGCTTAGGTATTTGTGGATTTGATCTTTAAATTAGGAACTTTAAGCAGGCCATTTGTACTTGTCTCTGGTGTTTAATTACCCATTTCACTGCTTCACAATGCTGAAACTCAGTCTTTTCTCAAAAACCCTAATGAAGATAAATTGCTTAGTTAGCAGTTGTTTTCTTTCCAAGATTTCTTAATTTTGCCATTTGTGGATGGCTCCCAGTCCATTAGTTATCTTTTTCCTTTGAGTGCCGTGATCCAAAATGAAGCTAATGAGAGCTACAGGATGTGGCTGCACAACTTGGTCTACAGCCTGCCTAAAGGCATCTTCCCATAAGCTGAGTTACCTGGAGCCTGCAGCAGGGCTGCAGTTTGCTGTAGGGTGTCTGAATCATTCATCAAAAGACACACAAAATCCCTTTGTCTGTCACTGCTATGAACAGGGGGGCACGTCAGCACAGCTAGAAGGGCTTTCCAGCCTTAATTTTTGCACAAGGGAATTCTAGAGTCAAGAGTGGTTGATAGCAAGTACAAGGTGCTTGCATATTTGATGATGTCCTGAAAAGTCAGCCTCACCAGGCCCCCTTTGAGCTTAGGGTGTGTAAGCAGGGCTGCATTTCTTCCAGATGGGAAAACAGAACACAATTGACACATGACTGAGTTTAAATTCTCATTTGTACAATATTTTTAGAGTGGAAGCAGAAGTTCTGAGTGAATATGAAGTTGGCAATATGTCTGTGTGGTATCTACATGACAGTGAATTTTGTAACTCATTACATGTTCCGTGGAAAAGTTCTTCTTGTTTTCTGCTGCTTTTAAGTCTACCCGTCAGTAATTTCAATTTCTTGAATTATGAGAAGTAGTAAAAAATAACTCCTTGTCCACCTTCTCTGTACTACTCATGAATTATAGACAACTGTCAAATTCCTCTTTTTTCCCTGGCTGAAAATAAATGTTCTGTTTGCTCTTAGCTCATGTAAACCTTTGCCATTCAAAGTGCTGTGTAAGCAGTTGAGGTAATTAAAAGAAGCAAATTAATCACATTAACACCTGGCCACAAAGACTTAGAAGCACTGAGAATTTGTGGCCATAGCTGACGTGATTGGAAGGCATCTTCAGGCTGAAAATCAGGGCCTTAGTGTGGAGATGTGTTAGGATCTCAGAAAGGGATTCAGCTCTGAGCTCCAGGACAGCATCAAGCCATTTGAGAGCCATTCAGAAAATCCCTGCTCCGTTCAAATGCTGCAAAATATTTATGTCTGTGCTGAACATAAGCAACCAGGCTTTGAAATGACCACCAAAAAAACCCACTGTACAATAACTTGAAAGATACTTTGTTTTGCCCTCCAGGTATCAAGGACAGTGTTGTCCTCATCTCATTCTTAATAACAAGGTTTTGGGAGTTTAAGGGTTTGAATCCAAACCCCAAGGACTTGGGTGCTACCAGTGGACTGTCTATTCCTGTATCCCAGGAACTGAGAATCAGATGAAAGGGAATGTTTTTAGGAGCAAAGCTATTCATGCACAAGTCTCAAATTATCTTCAATAGCATGCTCAGCGAAATCTTAAAAGGAATACAAGTACACATTAATTAAGAATTAACATAATTCTGTTCCTTGAGCATGATGGTTATTAAAACATAAACTCAATGAACGTACACTTGAGAGGAAACTGCTAAATATTTTTAAAAGCCTAATTTTCAGTCACCCTTTATTTTTTTCATTAAGAGAGAAAAAAGAAGATGGCACTTGACTTTCTGAAACTTTCTATTTGCTTCAGATCAAAAAGTTGCTGAGTGCCCTTAACTGCTGATAGGACAAATCAGGAATGAATTAGATTTATATGGAAAGCAGACATGGGATGACACTTTGAGAAGTGCCTGAAAGCCACATTTGTGAAGCTGTTCAGACAGCTAAAGGAATGAGAAAATATGCAAAGAGATTTTCAGGCATATGTGCTGGCCATTAATGCAGTTTTCACAGTTTTTTTTTTTTAATTTTGAGAAATTTACATTCTTAGGCATTGAAATGCTTTTCAAAATCTGGCTGTCGTAGTACCACAAATGAGGTTTTCAAAAACACTTCTTTTGTGGAAGGCCTTTGTATCTTGTCCCTCCTACCACTGTTTGGAAAACAGGGTTTAACCTTTTTTTTGCCACACCAAGTAGTTTGATACCTGAATACACCTGTGTTGAACAGTCCCTCAGTAGTGACCTGCGCTCTCACACCACCTCACAATTAACCCACAATTAACTACACTAATGTACAGGAGGCTTTGCATGCCAGAAAACATTGGTCCCCAGGCTTGCTGGTGTGGAAAATGGGAAATGGCACAACACAATAGGGACTGGTTTCTGTCCAGATACATCTCGCAGGATGAAGAGGGCAAAGTTTGCTATTGATTCTCAGCTTCTTATTCAATTTGTATTTCACTTTGCCCTGCATGTCTGTTCTTCAGCTGATTTTCTGTGTTCCTTGTGTTTTGCAGAATGCCAAAGCCAGTTATGACTTCAGCAGCAATGATCCCTTCCCCTATCCCCGCTATACAGATGACTGGTTTAACAGGTAAATGGATTTTGGGCAGCCTGCCCTTCACTTTGGTTTGTGGAAGAAATTCTGCATCTTTGTGAAATATCTATTTTCTGCTAAGTTCAATCATCACAGAACAGACACTGCAGTCTCACTACTGTTTGAAAAGTAGAGGTTACTTACAACATCATTTTTTTAGGTTTATGGTTTATAAATGAAGTTGCTGCTCCAGAAAAGTATATTTTTAGATTGTTTGGATAAGTGATGGCTACACACCTTTTTGCCAGCTGTACTAGAACAGTCCAGTAATCCAAACCTGTATAAACTGGCTTCCCATCTGCTGCCTAAATTTAAAGGGAGTAAGCTGGAGAGAGGAAAGACTTTGGGGAAGAAAGTATTTTCATCCTATGGAAGCCAAAGAAGTCAAAACAGCAGCATGGTGTAGAATGAGCAGCTTAAAAACAATTAGATCTTACATTAAGTTCTGAATCACCTTGGTTTAAGGACAGTGTACATGGATAGCGTTTTTCTAGCTGCTGGAGAAGTTCAAGTCCACATACTGTGGAATCTGTTCTGTTGTGTTTATAAATTTGGAATCAACAGTGAAGCTGTGCTTGTTATTTCTCCTGAATACACAGTGATTGCACAAGACCCATTCCTTCTTCAGTGTGCTCTGAACTTAGCTCTGAACTTTACCAGTTTTCAGTAGGAGGAGCACTGGTTCTCAAGATATGGAATAAATAAGGATGGACCAAAAGAAAAGGCTTGAGATTGTAGAATGTGTGACTTTTTGTTTCCCTAAACTCATTGGCTTTTTGTTGTTGTTGTTGTTTTTTTTTTCCCATAGAATGGAAACATGTTATGACAGTTTTTTACAAAATATGTCCTGGGTTCTGTATCTGTCCCATGGCAGGCTCTAGCTTGCATTTGCAAAAATTATTTCAAGGTATTTTCAATGAAATTTCCAAACGTCCCCTAGACAGAAGTTGCCAGTAATGCTGAAGATTTGAAAACTTTTTAAAGATTTCAGGGCTCAGATGGAATGCTTCTCAAAAAATATTTGAGGCCTATTTGATGTGTTTTTCATCTCTAACTCAGGATGGCTGGATGGCCTCCTGGTTAGGATGGGTTTTTTTGGTTTGTTTTTTTTATTTCTGAAGAAATCAATTGTAGTTCTGTCAGAGTGACACAGCAAAGAGGCAGCTGTGGTTCCACCTCAGACACAGGCCTCCTGGAATGGATTAAACAGAGTTAGGAACTGTGATGTCCTTGTTTGTAGTCCTGCAATTTTTCTGCCAAAGCAAGATCTTAATGAGATTTCTGCTTCATTTTGGGAAAGGACATCTGACTTTCAAAGCAGTATGAATTTTAAAGTAGTATGAGTTCAGTTAGTGAATGGAAAGTCAGAGAAAGACTAGGGCTCTAATTTGTGAAGAAGGTCTGCTGACTTTCTTGCTTTGTTTATGCAAAGAAACTTTTTAGGAGACAGATATCACTTAGCTCTAGAGAGGAAGAAAATTAAATTTAGCTGTAGTATGTAATGGGAGCTTTTGTTGTTTTCAGTGTGGAACTTCATAAAATTAAGTATGTTCTGCCAAGTCCCATTAACACTGATTCTGCTGCTATCAAGTATTTTATAGTGGGACCCAGTTTGCCATCCTTCTGTGTTCTGCAAAGTAAACTCTCCCTGGAGGGAGAGTTATATTCCAAAGTCTCTTTGAACAGATCTTAAACATTCCAGATGTGGCAGGGCTTATTGTCTCTGGTCCCAGGTGCCCCTGACTAATTTCAAGCACTTCAGGGAAGAATTGAGGTGAGCAGCACTATTATCTGTGACCCAATCTGTAATAATTGAGAACAGCATGATTCAGGTTGTCAGAGAGCTGCAACACTTTCTTCTGTTTCTTGGGGGAATGGGGAGTTCAGGTCAGTAACAGGAGGAGGAAAACAATGGAGAAATTGCTTTGCAGATTTCCTTTACTGATCTTCCTTTTCAGAAAAAATAAAATTAATACTTGGGAAGTATAAGTGTTTGTCAATGAACCTTTGTCATAATGGGATGCTCAATTCCTGGACGTATTCAGGGCCAGTTTGGATGGGGCCTGATCTCATGGGTGGAATCCCTGCCCATGGCAGGGAGATTGGAGCTAGATGATCTTTAGGGTCCCTTCCAACCCAAGCCACTCCATGATACTAATGAACCTTGAGATTTCTTTTGCAAGGTAGAGAATTTTCTGTCTTGCAAGGTAAATCACGGGAGCAATACATTCAGTGGAGCATCCCTTTCCTGCCTTCACAATATAAGAAGGCTTTAAGATGCAAGATTCTTAGTTTTCTGCAGGTTAAGATGCCAACAAGCACACCATATCCAGCTGTCCAGGAGTGGTTGGGACTATTTTTCTCCATGTGTTTCTTTGCTATTCTGTTAATTGAGCTGACATACTCCTATATAAGCTCTTGCCATGGCTTCTGACTCCTGAATCAGTGTTACTGGTAGGTAACAACTGCCTCTGACAGTCTGTCTGTCCCTACATGCAGCTACACAGGTGCTTCTGGATAGGGCATGATTACATGGAAAATCTATTGAGAGAAACCTGAAATAAAGGCTCCATTTTGCACAGCCAGTGATGTATCTCCCATTGAATTTTATGCATGCAGAAGGATCAGACTCAAAATAGGATAGCGTAATATCCCTTTTTCCATAAAGAATACGTTTCTATGTGAGCAATTCAAATGATTTGTTGAACAAGAAGCAGAGGACTGATCACCAAGGGGCTTTTGTGAGCTGCCAGCTGCATGGGCAATGTGTTCATTAGACTTTAAGAATAAATAGGAGAGGTTTTTGCATGGAGTATTTCATTAATCACAGCTGCTCTGCTTGTAAGCAACAGATTCCCCTTCCATTTGGTTCTTTGTAAGACTGCTGGAATCACTTTGGCCTTTCCATCTAATAGCCACTGGCCCACAAAACCATGCAGGGTGGTGCCTCAGGCAGGAAATTGCTTTCAGGCAGTTCAGCTGCAGCTAAGGGCAGAGGCCCATAGATGGCTTGGCAGCCGAGGGGTTTATTCTCATATTGACTGTGTTCAGATCTGCAGCCTGGGGGGCCAGCAGGAGAATGTACACTTGGTGCAATGTCAAACAGAGCTGTGTTTTAGCCTGAGGAGCAGTGGGAGCAGTGAAAGAACCTGAATCAAGCCCCGTTCCCAAAGCAAGAGGCAGCTCCACAGAACTCAGTGATTTTTAAGAACCACACTGGGAACTGACTGATTTTGAATTTCCTCTGCTGAACCACATTCAGTAACTTGGCATGTACCACATTCTGCAGTGAAGAGGTAGCCACAGGAATCAGTGATTGCTTGGCCTCGTACTACCCTCTGATTTCATGTTCTGAGCATGCAGAAAGCACAACTTGGGCTCTCATACCAACGAGATTACAAATTTCTGCCCTGATCTAAATAACCAGTAATTATCCCCACTCCCATGGCCTTTGTATTATGTATATTCTCTCACTCAGCTAATGAGTTAGCAGGGCAAAATTTATTTGCTATCTTGGAAGCCTATATTCTTCAGACATAAGAATCTTTTAATAACTGTGGATCCAAACCAAAGTAGGAGAATGCTTCCCCTTCTGTGAACACTCAAATACTTAGAAACTGACAACGTCACGTGAATAAAAAGGGGATTGCATTTGCCCCACGAAAGTGACCATCTGAGCTCTGCATGTTTAATTGCTGCCCAATGCAGGCAGCTGAAGTGGTCAGGAAAGGCAAAGTGGTCAAGATGGTCCCAGCTATTGAGACTGCAGCTCTGCACAGCCCTCCCCTGCAAACAGCTGAAGATAGGATGGATGGGTCTTGCCCTTTGCTGTCTGCAGAAGCATTTCAAAGCAGATGAAAAGGAGCCTCAATAAAAATCTGTGCCACCTCTGACACTTTCAAAAATATGTCAATAGGGAGGCACGCACAGTACCATTGGCAGTGGATTTCTAAACAGAATTGTTTTCAAAGACAAACCAGAGTGAAATTTTCATAGCTAGTACAATTATTTTTTTTCAATTCAGTATGCAAAACTGTTTTTCAACTAAACCCACTTCTCCCACCTTTTTCACGTGTGTTCGTGTAAAATGTTTTCACTTACATAAAGTTTATGTAAGACTTGCTCTACTTGCTAATATATGGTTTACCTTTGAAGTAGCTTGTTCACAGATGAAAATATTTTTATGTTCTATCCCCTTGCTTTAAATATTGAAATAGGGAAGAGGTGAACACCATAGAGAAAGGCTGTGATTTGTTCCTGTGACATGAGTCACTTCATAGAAACCACAAAGGGTTTATCAATGATACATGAACAGCAAATAGGGCTGAGTTGGAAAAGTCTGCTATTTGCCATTAATAATTCAACCAAATGCATTTCCACTAAATCATAAGTGGGTTTTTTTTTTTCCTCTCTAGTCAGCTGCACAATACTGAAATGCTGAGCTGCTGTTTACAATCTCCATTGTGTGAGCTGCTGCTCTGGAGAGGCCAGGACAGGGAGAGGACCTTCTGGTAAAACTTTTTTGTTGGGAAGGTCCTAATAATCCTTTTTCTCACTGTAATCTGGCAGCATCACTGATGTTTTGCACCCCAGAATTAGCCAAGCCAATTTTGAACAAAGCCATTTATTCTTCTCTGTGGCTTGTAGTTGGCCCATAGGTGACTAGATAATGAATGCCTAGCATAGATAGCTATGCCTAGCAATGAATATTGTGTTTCTGTCACACTTCCTTTGAGCAAGATCATGAGAGAAAACCTTGTTGCTTGATTGTTGATAGCAATTTCTGTAGCAGCTGAATAAGAAATCTGTATTGCTGTCTCCTCTGCCCCCTTTGTAAAAAGAAGCAGATGAGATCTTCAGTTGTCTTTCGTTATGGAACTGCCTCTAAAAATATATTCTCCCAAGTAGAGCAGGAAAAAGTATGTGTTGCTTCCTACCTTTTAATTAATGTTACAGTTATCTTTGCCAGAAACCCTTAAAGGGAAAGAGAGAGAAAAAGGTGATTAAAACAGTTTTGCTGCCTCCCAGGGTAGCTGATACTCAGTATAACCTTTTTTTTTATAATACAGCATTTTGATTTGCATGAATCCTTAGCATGCTGGCAGCATCAACACCAGTTTCAGTGTGCAGAGTGGATTGATGTGAGCAGTAGGATGGATTTGTATATTGATTCAACATCTTAGCCTAAAAATACCCCTGACAGGAGAACAGGTTTCAGTAGTTTCCCTGCTGCTATGCTATTTTTTAAAAACTAGGTTATGTTGTCTGTATTTCTCTTCTCTTGAGTTTAATTTCTATGATGAATTATGAAAAAAGGAAAATGCAATCTACCTTCCTGCAGGAGCCACTGCCAGTTAAAGAGTCTCTATTTAGAGCTGTAAAGCACTTCACAGATATCAGGTATTATTGAAATACCACATGTCAGCCCAAACTTGGACCTCTGTGTCAGAGCAGAGACTTTTCCCACATGAGCAGGAAGCAGTAGCTGTGTGAGCTGGAGCACCTTGTCAGTTCTTACGGGAATTAGGCACTGGATACGAGGGATGCACGTGCCTTAATTCCTACAGCTTTGGGCCTGGCCAGCAATGCCGCAGCTCTGCTGTTGAAGGGTGCAGTGACCATTGTGTCTCCCTTCTGCTATTCCAGCTTGGTATTGCACCCACCTCTTCCTGTAGCATATATTTTGTGGGCAGGGATATGCCCTTTGTACATGTTCAAGAAGCAAAAAGGCAAGCCAGGCTTTGTTCCATGAGGTTCAAAGTAATGGGTGTCACACTGTCAAGCCACAAAAATAAAGGAATTAATATTGATCTTTTATTTACACTGTTCTGTCAGGGGCTGTTTCTACTAAGAGTTGGTAATGAGACAGAGCCTGTCTCACAAGCTAAAACAAGAAGGCCTGAATAACTTTACAATTAAATGCAGTGTAAGGATACATGTTAACCTCAGAGGAAGCATCACTCATCCTGCAGAGGGGAAACTGGATATTGCCTGCTTCAGGAGGGAATGAAGTCATCCCAGTATTCAGCACACAACAATTTTCCGTGGAATGGTTTTCCTCTGCAGCACTGGGAGCTGAGTGAGGCAAAACAAGCTCACAGTGATCCAGCTTAGCTCAGCACGTGCCTTAGCTGGGGTTCATCTGGTCTCTCTGCCTTCCTTTTCAGCCACGGGACAAGGTGTGCAGGAGAGGTGTCTGCTGCTGCCAACAACAACATCTGCGGCGTGGGAGTTGCGTACAACTCCAAAGTGGCAGGTATGGTGGCAATTCAAGGTGTAAATGGTCCGCTGTGCTTCAGGCAGAACTCCTCCTGCAGAGACAGAGAGTGTTGCCCAGCACAGGGCTGCAGATTGGAGCTGGACCATGTATTTATTATTTTTTTCAGTTAGTTGGAGAGAGGAATTTCTCCATGGCTTTGCATTTTCAGTCAAGGGCCTTGTGTAGGCTCTTTAATAACAGTGCCAAAGAGCAGCTCTGCTCCTTCATATGCCAACCCCTGTTCATATACCGATTTTCAGTGCTTCTTCCCTGCATAGCTGTAGAATCATTTGTAGCAAATCTCATTTTACAGGAGATAAAGTATAAATTCCTGCTGCACTTAAAAAACATTTGAAGTGGTAAATCTCATGCTGCTCTTACTCATCAGGCTCTCACAGTGCAGGACCTGCAGTGCAGTAAATCTCAGTGGTTGCAGGTTTCCTCTGTTTTAACAGTGATGTGGAGTGGTAGGAGCAGATGCAGAGCATGAAACAGGTGGTACCTGGCACCCAGCATCCACACCTTGGGTGTGTTGGGTATTTTTACTTCTAACGAGCTCTTCTCTGCACATATATAGTGAATACAGTGCTTGGAGCTAATTAGGCTCTTAGCACCATGTGTCAGTTTAGTTGAATCTGAAGAAATACAGTTTTCCCACTCTTCTGTTCCAAGATGAGAACTGAGGCACAGTAGGCAGAGATAGATGCTTATGAATTTCACTTTACTTTCCCTGATCCACACTGGAACATCAGCATAGATGTACCCATTGCTTCTTGGAGATGGTCCACAGTGTGTGTTCATGGACAGCTCTGCTTTGCTTGGCCTGTCCCTGTTTTATTGTAGTGTCAGGAGAATGTGAGGAGGGATACATTTCACCTGGCACCTACAGGTCTGAAAGGTGGATCTTCGACAGAGAAGGGCACCAAGCAATGTTTGCTAAGCTCTTACCCAAGAAATATCACTGAGAGTTAATAACTGGCTGGGCAGGTCTAATGAATGTCTCTTTCCTTCAGTAAGGGTAGCATCTCCTTCAGGGATGGGACATTCCACAAAATTTACATTCTTTCAAGAGTTACTCTTCAAGAAATCTGAATTGAGGCATGGGGTTTTGTCTGGACTGTATTGTTCATACAACTCTGCAACTTCAAGCTGGTTGCTTAAAAATCAAGAGGTGTGAAGAACTTTTTGATGATCAGCAGCCTACAAATAATCTTCTGTGTTTGTGCACTTTGTAGTACAATTCCCTCAAGTTTTTGGAAGTGCCAGCCAGCCTCCCCTGCCTGAGGACAATGTGCACTGGCAGCACTTCTGTGTGGTCCATGGCAGTGGAAGTCCATGAAAGTTGAGGCTCTGCTGCTGTCATGGTTTGGAGCCCATGACTACAGAATGAGAGGGAAGTTGATTGCCAAGGATCTAGTGCATCACTTGGTTTTTTTTCCTTGTACCTCTTTTTTCCCTTGAAGATGGTTTGGCTCCTCCTGTTCCCCCACTTTCCTCAGAGTCAATAATTAATTTTGTGGTTGTACGGTGCTGGATTTCTTAGGGAATTTCCTCCCATTTGTTGTCAGGGAGATGGTGAATGGACAGTGATCAAGAGACAAAAGCAGTAGCCACATGCCTTGACATGCCATTTAAATGGTTCAGAGAGAGGGGGGACGGATTTTTTTGCCTGCCATGGAGGGGAGATGGTTTTGGGTGCTCCTCTGCTGCTTCTCCGAGGGCTTGGTGCTGCTGCAGAATTCTCCTTGCTGCCCATCGGTGAGCCTGCTGCTTGCAGGAGCTGCCAGTTGACTGGGAGCTTTCAGCATCTGCCCCCTCCAGGAGAGACCTTCTGGGCCCTCTCCCTCCTCCCTCTCTCTGGAGAGAGACTCCACACTGGTTGTTTGACTGGAACCCGCCAGGATACCGCATCGTGTGTGAGCGCCCGAGAAAACGAACCTCCAGCCTTCTCTCTTGTGGTGGGGTCTTCATCAAGCCCTGGGGAGGCTCAGGGCTCACACCAGAGCACCCCTCAAAGCTGGGGGAGTCACTGCAGCCCCTCTGCCCCACCTGAGCCACCAGTGCTCCCAGCCACTTGTGGTCATGGCTGAAGAAAAAAGGAGATCGCTTAACGAGTGGGCAGCTACTAGTATTGCTTGGTGGTGTTTCTCTGTCTTGTGACACATATATGTTCTAGTAAAGAACTGTTACTCTTTTTCCCATAATTTTTGCCTGGAAGCCCCATTCAAAGTTACAATAATTTGGAGGGGAGGGCGTCATCTTTCCATTCCAGGAAGGGTTCCCACCTTCCTTGGCCAACACCTGTCTTTTAAACTGGGACAGTGGTTTCTGTGCAGATCTGCATTTTATAAGTATGGGAAGCAGTTTCTCACCCATTGAGTTTGACTTCATCATTTCTAGCTCGAGTTAGCCCATCAAGAGCATCCAGCCTTGGTCTGATTTCTATTTGAAATTTATGCCACCTTTTTTCCAGCCTTATATTTGACACACTGGTTTTCTATTGAATATAGTAAAGCCTCTGGCTTCTAAATCAGGATCCTTATTGTCATTCACACTGTTTGGCACTGTGCCACCGATTTCTGTCCCATCTGTGTCCTAAACCACTGGGAAAAGCTGAACTTCCACTCAGGGATACAAATTAAGCTTGGAATGAATCCCTGGTTACTCAGGTCTCATCCAGAGGCCAAGTGACAGGTTGTGGGTGAAATTGTCCTATGTGTGGGGCTTCCACTGCTGTCTGTTGCACTCTGGCTCACTTAGAGTCAACACTTGGAGGTTTTATGAAGTTGACATGTCCTGAGATTGCATAATTTAAACTCTTAATTTCTACTGCAGTATGGGTTTAAGGAAGTGGGGTTTAGTCTGGTTTTTTGTCCACATGCTGGCCATATTTTGCTATTGCGTCTGCATGTTGACAGAATGATATTTTTCCAGGAAATTGCTATGTAGCTTGTTTCCCTCCTCTGATTAAATTCTGGAATTGCACCAAAAAAATAGAAAAATTACTTGAAAAACTAATGACAATGTGAACACAAGACTGAATGTAAGTTAGATGAGGGGGGTTACTCTTTTTTGCTAGCTTAAAAAATATTATTTTCAATGCCATTCATATTATTTAAACACTGAACTTCTGAGATTGCTGGATTCTGGTATTTTTAAAGTGTTCTCAAGGAGTAGATGGAAAATACAGTGTAATTAGAAAGCTAACAATAAAGTTCTTTGTCTTTCTGGGCCATGCTGCCTTGGTGGCTGGGTTTGCTGCTATTACCGCTGGGTAAGCACACTCTGGTGAAATGGGAATGTCAAATACAGAATTACTGAATGGGTGAAACTGCCAGTTACTTAAAATACCTGTAACTGGGGGCCTTCTGCAGGTGCTGAGATTACATTTTGTGCTGGGTAATGCATATTTCATGCTTATGTTGATTAAAACTACAGGTATTCGAATGCTCGACCAGCCGTTTATGACAGACATCATCGAGGCTTCCTCCATCAGTCATATGCCTCAAGTCATAGATATATATAGTGCCAGCTGGGGACCAACTGATAATGGGAAGACTGTGGATGGACCTAGAGAGTTAACGCTGCAAGCAATGGCAGATGGTGTGAATAAGGTAACAGTTTTAATATCTGGGTTCTGGGGCAGAATGGTGTGTACATGCTTGTGCTGAAACCAGTGACCTGGGAACACAATGCAGTTGCACAAATTATCCAACTTTCAACATATTTCAAGGTTCTTCGATTTCAAGGTTCTCTGCAATGTTTTGGTGTTGATTTTATTGTATAGTCTCAGCATACTGTGTTTATCTCTAGTCACCTTATAGCTGCTTTTCATAGGCCATTGTAGTCAAAATGGAGGAGCCTGAACCTGTAAATATTCCCCAGGTTGAAACATGCCAGCTGAGCTACTGACACTGCAGTATCTGCTTTGGTGTGTTATCAGTTTAATTCCTGTTTTGGCTATGGAGTGTCTCCCGGGTCACTCAGGTATGGTCATTATTATAGCTGTGATTGAGCTGCAACAGTTCAGCTGTCCATGGGCTAATATCATCCAGGAGCCTCCTTGTTTATTCCCATGATTCCAGCTCCTTCTAGGAACAGTCTGTGATCTTTGTAAAAGACACTGAATATCATCCTGTAATCTGTTTAACCTGCACTATAAAACAGTTGGGGGAAATGTGTGTGCTGCAACTCAAAAATAAAATAAATTAGCTCAAACAAACCAACCTTGCATGGCTTTGTGTCCAACTCTTCAGTGTTACCCAGCCAAGACAGCCATGGCTGCTTCCTGGTGCTGTAGGGAATAAATCTCCTCTCCTTGGCTGATTATAGATGGATTTCTGTATTGATGAGATCTGAAATTACCCAGAACATCTGGGATGGTTTTATGTGGGAGCTCCACAATTCCTTACCTTTCCATCCAAATTATTTCTTCCTTTTACTTGTGCCAAAGTCTCCCACTCTTCATCATCAGCTCACTGTAAGCAGAACATTCAGTTTACCATGTTTTGTGACATGATAATTAAATCTACCACTGTGACAAGTAGTGAAGCATCTAAAGCTTTCTCAAATGCTGAGCCTCAGATGTTTTGCCTGTAACAGAGGGATTATAGTCATCTTCATGCTTCCACCCATAAAATTGGCAATGTACTGCAATAACACTGGAAGACTTGTCACAAATTCCTTCTGAGTCTGCTCAGTTTTGTAGTATAAACTATACAAACCTCTGATGAGTTCAGACCCCCTCTGAAGTCACCTTACACAGGCTGTGTTTCTTCATGAGATTTTCATTTATTTAGTGTTTCCATAAAGATCCCATTAAACATTTTGGTCTTGAGGAGAATGTTTCTTAGGTGTGTCACAGTTTTAGCAATACCTTCATGTGTTACAGTTGTCTGATCTATCTTCCACTAGTGTTGGTAATAGCAGATATAAACTCTGAACACAGAAAAGTTTCCGTGTAATTTTTGTGTTGCCCTCCTCCGATGGAGAACTTGTCTAAAAGTTGGAAAAAAAGGTGGAGGAATGATAACTGAACTAGAGTTATTTTACCCTTCTAGAGAAGCAGATTTTAAATCATAATCATGGGGACTTTTTGCAATTTGGTATATAAAATACCTTTGAATCAACTTGCTGTCATATTGCCCTATGCTTTAATTTGTGGAGGTACACTGGAATTAACCTCCTCTTTGAATGTTAAACATTGGAATAGAGATTTTTCTTTTCTGTTTTATTGCTTGGTTGGAGAGTGTTGGGCTTTTCAATACTGTGCCCTCAGGAGTGTTTGTGATTCTCTTCAAGAAATAATTTGCAGTATTAAGATCAGAAAGGGCCCTGAGATCACTTGGGTTGAAGGCTCAGGAAAGAGAGAGAACAGTGACAGTGAGCTGTGCTCTGGCAGGGGTTGCTCTCATCAGGAAACATGTGTCTCTTATCAGGAGACACAGAATTAACAGGAGAGCCTGCATTATTAAACCAGTTCTGTCAGCCATTGCAGAATTAGGAGGAATGGTACTGGATTCTACCTAAAAAAAAATTGTTGTCCCAGGGCAATTACACTTAATCTTGTAGTGGCAGTATCCCAGCTGTCTCCTCGCAATGTGTGGACAGAAGATGAGACAGTTCCTCCCCAAATAACTCCCTTTGTGTTGTGATCATGGCTTTATCTACCCTTCTTTTGCTCATTATGTTTCCTGATATAATGATTTTTTTGGGTATAGTTTGTTCTGATCTGTTTTTTTTTTGAGAGACAGATTTTCTAGAGATATATTCAAGCTGTCAGTGGATGCTGGGTATTCTCCATGGCACTCTGAAAAATCCACTACAGAGTTGGCTGGATGTAAAGGAAGACTAACAAGCCTTTGATATGATACCCTTTTACCTATTTTAGGTCTATAATATATGCATCACATTCTCTATTGACTGTAAAAATGTAAATCTAGTTTATGATTATTTTTCAATATAACCCTCCTGTCTTATTAAAAAGCATCTTTTGTAAACTGAGAGACAAAGAAATGTAGGAATTCTTTTTATCAGCCTAGAGCTGATTCTCACCAGAGTTATGGTTCATGAATTAATGATGAAGCTGAAATATTGGCAGGGTGGAAACAACATGCTGAGAATAAAAATGTGTTCTTAAACTAAAAGCAATACTACCAAATGTCCTAGAAGGCAATATAAGAGCTCTTGCATGGAGCAAGATTAATATCTTTGCTTCTAATGTAATAAAATAAAAACCAGTAAGTAGGAGTGATACAGAATTCTTACACAGAATATGCATTTAATTGAGTTGACAAACACAGGTAACATTTGCCTTCCTGCCACCACACTTGGGAGCCCCAGCTCAAAGAGGAACTCACTGCCATGTGTTTCATCCTTCCCACAATCTCCATTTCACTCTCATATACTTTAGAATTCCTCCTTCCAGAGCTGCTGAGATGTGGGGGTAACTAGCCACCTGATAATGACAGTATGATAAAAACTGCAGAAACTGTGGAACTTCATGTTTATATGTCTGTTTTTATGTCTTGAAGCCACCCAGCTATATAACAAGGCGGGCTAAGGACAACATGTCCTCTATTTCTGATAGATATTCTTCTAGCTGAAGATGTCCCTGCTCAGTGCAGAGTGGAGTTGGCCTTTAAAAGGTCCCTTCTGACCCAAGCTATTCTCTGATCTATTTTCCTACCTTTCCTCTTCCGTTACCCCTTCTTGGAATATGTTAAATGCATTCTTGCCTTTGTCTTAATCACACCTTCATTTTGGTGTGCTGTTCACTTGGAAGGTAAATAGCTTGAATAGAGGCAGCACTAAATAACATAATTAAGGGCAACACAATCTGCCATCACACTGGCATCTCCTTTATGGGCTCCTTTACTAGCAGTATATCTAAGGCTGGGCACAAAAGGGATGGTGTGTGCCTGAACTGGGTGTCAGCATAACCCTTGTATTCAGAAGTTATTGGGAAGGGTACTCAAGCTGCTTTTGGTTACTAGGACACAATCCCACTCTTTTTTTTGAAATGTGATCTGGCTTCACTGTGTTATCTCATGGCTGTAGTTCAGGGACAGTAGTCAGCAGCATGACTGGGTCGCTGAGTAGTGGTGGTTGCACTGCAAAGGTAAATGAGCTCACAGTTCAATTAGGAAAAATTTGGGAATGGGGATTGAAAAGAATTTCATACACACAAAGGTCCACAAGTATTTGGCAATTACCAGCACAGGTGAAAACTTACCTAATGCAGCTTTCAGCTGCTAGAAAAGACATATTTGAGATGTAATTGGAAAGCACTTTAAAAAACTTCTGGCTTTTAAGGATTAGGCTGAAACTTGTATGTATACAGTACTTGCCTAATGAGGAAGGCTTGCATTCTTTGTACATATAGTATGACTGGGCAAAGCAATGCTGTGTGATTTACATATCCCTTGTCTCAGCTGTGCTTACCCTCTTTGGGGGCTGGAAGGCTTGGAGAGGGAGGTAGAGATGATAGGTGGAAATCTTGTAAAAACACATCTCTGTTAAATAGAGACTTTTTGTCCTCTAGTATCTTGTATCCAGAATTGTATCAGCTGTCATTTTAAACAGGAAAAGGCAACTTAGATCAAGGACTAATTCCACTTATATTTTATGGTAGATCCTGTCTTTAGTGTAGTGTCCAGTAAACATTTCTTATTTGTCATTTTGTTAGTCCAGTTCTTTCCAGCTTCAGTTGCTGGAATTTAAGGCAACAAGAAGAAGTAATCAAATAAACTGGTCTCCTATCTATTGCATTTTTACGATATGAGCTTTTATATTAGGAGGTTGTGAGGGGTTGCTCATGGACTGAATTAATTCCTTGAGACTTCACCGTCTCAGCCAGAATATATAAGATATGAGCCATTTGTGCTTGTGCTGGTGAAAACATTATTGCTTCCCTATTACAGTTCTACCTAAGAAAACAATGCCCAAGTACAAATTACTAGGAGAGCAGTATTAAGAATTTGTAGTCACATCATGGCTTTGTAATTTGACTCACCAATGAAGGAAGAAAGGACAATGTAAAAAACAAAAGGAAATATTTCTTATTTGCCTCTTTTCCAAGTGCACAGAAATTGTGTTATTGTCTTTGAAAATATCATGTTAACAAAGTATATACAGCTAGATACCTCTAATATCATTTTAGTGTTCAACAGCTAAGGGAGGACAGGTAAATTTATGATATGCAACCATCTGATTACTCCATTTCGGAGGAAGCCCAGCAAGCTGCTTTATAACTTGGGAGTCCTTTAGTATCATATTCCCACTGTGTCTGAAATATGCATTATAATTCCATGCCTTGTCTTAATCATCTAAGATAAAATCAGACCTTATTAAAACCCCACACATGTTGTATCTGCTTGGAATTCTGAACTCTGGTCATCTGACGGGGATGTTTTCTAAGGAGGCAAGACAACAATGAAGCCTGAAAACGCTGATTTTTTGTCTCACTCTGCCCCCAGGAGTATTTTTTGCCTAATCTCTCTGCCACAGCTCAGCAGATACACAGTTTAGCTTCCCAGCAAGGCTGATGCTGCAAACTGGGAGCCTTTGCACAGTGCTTCCAGGGGCACAGGTGAATCTTTGAGGCCAGAGTTCA